TGGGGGGTGGGCACGTGGTTATTGGATGGAGGGGGCATGGGGTCAGGTGAGAGTATCAGGGCTTGGGATGTCCTGTCCCCAAAGACTCTAGCCCAGGTTCCAGAGTCCGCTGGACTGCAACGAGGTGGGAGAGGCAGGCAGGGTTTGGGGGTAGGAGTAGCCAAGGAGTCTTCCCCCAGGAGGGGGCGCTGGTCACTTACATCCTTGAAGTCCCGGAAGGGCACGAACTGGACGATGTCCCGCGCTGCAGGCACCCCTTTGGGGCAGCGTAAAGGTCCATCGTCGCCATCCAGCAAGCGCATGTCGGAGAAGTCAGCGTTGCCCACGCCCACGATGATGATGGACATGGGCAGCCGCGAGGCGCGCACAATGGCAGCTCGGGTCTCGGCCATGTCACTCACCACTCCATCCGTGAGCACCAGCAGCACGGAGTACTTCTGAGAGCAGGCAGAGGGGAGGAAGGGGAGGCTCTGTGTGCCAGGACGTTGGCACCAGGTTGGCACCAAACCTGGGCCCTGGCCCTGGCCCCACCCGAAGGCACTTGGGAGCTTGTGGCTGCTGCTTGGCTCCTTACCGTGGCTTGGCCGGTGCCCTGCTCCCTCTGGGCTGGTCCTGCCACACGGTTGATGATCGGGGCCACGTTGGTGGGGCCATAGAGCTGGATTTGGGGCAGGCAACGGCGGTAGGAGGCAATGACTCCCGAGATCTCTGTGGACAAAGAGGTGAGGCTGGCAGAGATTAGCAGGAGGCCCTTCCTGACACCCCTTAAAGCAAAGAGGTGCTTCCCTATCCCAGGACTGCCCTGCCTGCCATGTTCACCTAATAGAGAGTTAGACAACTTAGGCTCTGGGGGGCTGGAGCGGGCGGGTGCTGGGCATTTGACCAAGTGAACACAGGCGCTGGGTGGATGACCAGACAGGGAATTGGGCCCGTGGGAACGGAATCTATGGGGCTGCCTGGGACACACAGGAGTGTGCTGCAAGCTGGGTGTGGAGGGGGACTGTCTCTCTTACCTTCACATTCAGGATTTTCTGGGTCGAAGTTGATAGCAAAGTCATGGGAGACCTGTGAGGGTATTCAAGAGCGGTGGGGGTGTCTTTCCATCCTGTGACACCCTCACACCATCTCTTCCCTTCCTCTCACAACCAGCAGCCTACCTCAAAGTTGGGGGGGATTCGCGCTCCGAAACCAAACGCCGGGAACCGCTTATCACTGGGGAGGAGACAAGGCTGTGGGGGCCCATTGGGCCAGACCTCCTTGCTTGTCCCTGCAGCCACCCAGTCTCACCTCTTCCTACCTGTCATAGTCCTGGCAGATGCCTCCCACTGTTCGCAGGGCTTGCAGGTAGTGGTTGGGTTGGCGGGGGCTGAGGCAGTGCAGGGACTGGCTGCTTCTGGGGTCCCCGTTGGAGGCAGTGAAATCAATGGCCACCTGGGAGGGATGAGCAAAGGGCCACACTGCATCATGAGGGCCCACAGGGAGGCTGGGCCCCAGCTCTGGTCAGGTCAGCAGGGAGGGTGATGAAATTGGCGAGCTCTCAGGTGGCGTCATCTTGAGGTGCATCCAGGAGTGCAAGCTGACCATATGAGGCATGATGAGATGCCCTAGTTGGGGCGGTAGGGGTCTGGGCCCCTCCCCATCCCCAGGTCTTTACCGTGAAGCTGATCTGGCAGCCACCCATGATGTAGTCCAGGAAGGTGTGCACCTTCTCCACCTGTGGAGGCAGGGAGGTAAGGTAGAGGGATGGTCCCTGGGGAGGACGCTGGGTGGGCCTTTTGAGGGGCAATGGAGGGCCTAGAGTTTTTGAGGTTTAGGGCACACATTCTCAGATCCCACAAACAGAGAAGCTGAGTTTTGAAACGAGGGAAAGTTAAACCAGCGGTTGTAGGCGTAGGTCCCGGGGTGGGGGATGGCAGAGGCAGGCCCTGGCATTTACCGCACACTGGGCCAGCACCACGCTCCCGGAGCTCTTGTAATTCTTCTTCTTGTCCCGGTACTTGGGGTTGATACAGTCCCACTGCATCTAGACCCCACAAACCCACAATCCCAGGGTCATAATCCCACATGTGACCTCTCCTCCCGCCTCCGTCAGAGGTAGACCAAGAGACCCAGAGCTCAGTCCTGTCCACCCCTCCACCTCCCACCAGTAGGGTGGTTCTCGGGATCCTCCTGGGGTTCTGAGTAGGGCTCTTGGGGTCCGGGGGTGGGGTCCTTCTGGCACCTCCTGGCCAGGTTTTGCTGTTCCTTCCTGCATCTCCTGGAAGGTGCTGGTGAACTCGCCGATGAAGTCATGTTTCCCGCTTGAATCATAGTCGTACACTAGGAACTGGGGAGGGGAGGCAGGGTCAGAAGTGCTGTGCAGTGTGTGCTGGGGATGTGAAGAGGGACTCAGCGCCTCGCAATCTCTAAGCCTAAACAGGTCTTCAACCTGCCTGAGAGGCCACCTGCTGAATTACATTCTTTGGCTCAGTCTGGCAGGGAGTTTGGCCTCTGATAAAAGGCAGTGACTCATGCTTTTTCCCACAGCGGGAGGGCTTGTCACATGGAGGAATGGGAGGGGGCTTGACAGGGGGGAAGGTCTCAGACAGAAGCCAGGTGCCCAGGAGGTGGCCTGGCCTGGCAGCGCGGGGCTCACCTTGAGAGGCCGGTGCACATCACAGCTGCACAGGGAGTGCAGGGACAGGCGGAATGGCTCCCAGGTGGGGTTCAGGTTGTTTTTCACCACCTTGAAGAGGCGCCATAGAGAGAGCTGATCACCCCCTGTCAAGGTTTCCTTATGCTGTGCTCCCTCCTTCCACTCCCACAACTCCCCATCCCCACCCGTCTACCAACCTCTGTCCTCCAGACCAGCTGGTCACTTTGGTCTCCATTGGTCTTATAGATCTCCATGAAAGGGTCAGACTTGCTGAACAGATCCTGTGGGTACAGGGGAAGGGCCCACGAGTCTGATGAAGTCTGCAGGCCAAGATGGCTAGCACTGAGAGGAAGCAGGGTTGGGGACCTGGCGATTTGTCTCGAGTGGGAGCCTAGGCTCTCTAGCACAAGGCATGGTGGCCTGACTCTGGGCTTCTAACCTTGTTGTCCAGCTTGTGGGCTCGAAAGGTGAGTTGCACATAGTCATTGGTTCCAGAGACCTCCTCGGCCACGATCTGCAAGGGGACACAAGTGGAAAGACTCCCACCACATACACACAAAGGCCACAGTGCCCTTGGGGACAGTGGGGGTGGGGGGGAATGTCCTGGCATGATGTCACCATGAATATCCATGCAGGGGGCATTGAATGCCCTACCCAAGGGTGGGTACAGGTGACCTTGCCTACCGTGATGGTGGACTTGCCCGCGGTCTTCCCGTTCTTCAGCAGCAATGGCTTAGTGATCTTGGTTTGTGACACAATCTGGGGATGGAGGCGAAGGGAGGCCCAGCTGTGACGCCCCCACCCGCCTGGACTATGGTATCAGGGATTGGGTAGTACGTGTCCTCTGAGGGCTCACAGGGCTGCCCTTGGTCTAGGGTTGGGCTTAATTTCCCCAGCAGTCTTAAAGGCAGGCACATTATTTAGACAAGTTTAGTAAAACTTGGATAGACTAAGAATTTTTGTCCTGGGCTGCATAGCCAGTGAGTGGCAGAGATGGGGTCCGAGCCCAGATTAAATCCACCTCAGTGCTCATGTGCTCTCTTGTTTTGGGGCAGAGAACTAAGCTGGTGGGTTGGTGTGGGGCTGGGGAACACAGACCTGGCCCAACGTGCACTCAGTGGAGCCAAGGAAGGTGTCGTTTCGGGGGCTGGTGGCTCCATCCTCGGCGTCAAACACATGGAACTGCAGGGGCTGCTTCTCCTCGAAAAAGTACTCAAGGGCCAGCACCCGGGAGAAGACTGGGCTGGAGCAGGAGCGCAGCACCTCTGTGCGCTCTACCTGTGGCAGGAAAGGTGTGGGCCCCCTGGGAACCACGCTACTTCTCCCTGCCCTGGCCTGGCCTGGCCATGCCAGTTTTCTTTGACTTCCACACCCCCAGTGAATAGCTCTCCCTCCCTAGCTTGCACCCTGAGCTTGGGGCGCTGCCAACCCACGGGCCCATCGGCCCCCGGGGGCTCTCCTGGGTCTGTGGGGAGCTGTACCCGGGAACATCTCAGGGCCCGCTGGGACTCTGGGCTTAGAAGCTGTGAAATGGTTTGTGCTTGTGATAACGGCTCATCATCTCCGTGGTGACTGACACAGCCTAGAAGAGGCCCCTTTGTATTCCCTGTGAGGTTTGCACTGGTCCCACCCAGCACCCCTCCTTCCCAGGCCAGGAGGTTCCTTAGGGAGGAAAGACCCAAGCCCCCTCTCACCTCCACCCACTGCTCATCAGAGAAGAGCTTGAGCAGCACGCAGGGGTGGGGCTTGGTAAGCGTGTCTCGGTCCAAGAGGCCATGGCAGGACACCCGCAGCTCCACCCGCGAGGCCCCCAGCGTCATGGCGGGGGGCTCAGGCACCCATCCCATCTCAGGGTCGGACATGGCACTGTGGGGAGAGAGCAGGTGGTGTGGACCCCAAAGGGGGTGGCTTCTAGGGCCTCTGGGCCCCACCCCCTTGCTGAGAAGCTGCTATCTTAGGACCTCTTGTTTCTGCTCCCCCCACTGCAGCTTCTCCGGAGCTCAGGAGGGGACTCGGGGGAGGGGTGGGTGGGCAGGGCCCCCTGCCCGCCCCTCCCTCCCCTTCCTGCCAGCTGGATGGTCCTGTGGCCTCTGCTGGGCTAGTGTGCCTGGATGGGCTGTGGCGGCCTGGCAGGGCGGGGGAGTGGTTCCTGGCAGTCGGCTCCTAGGTCATGAATTGATTCCGGCTTTCTGCTGCCTCAGCACCTTCTGCTATTTCCCCGACTAATGTTAGAGCCAGCGCTGCACTCAGTCTTGGCACGAGGCAGCTGAACTGGGGCAAGGGGTGGGGGAGAGGGTGGGAGGCCCCAGAGTCTTCCGAGGACGGGTCTCAGGGATGGATTCTGCTGGCAGCGGGGCTGGTTGGAAGGAAGGTGACCTGCGGGGCTATCCCTGTGCACCGCCGCCCACTCGCCTTCTGGACAGGGCTGGGTGGTGGGCTTGGGGCGTTAGGAGCGGAGCCCTGTCCCGCTGACAGCTCCTCCTGTCAGGGCGCCCACTGTAACAACTCCGCTCCCCGCCCCACCTCCCCTGTCCTCACACTTCTTGGCAGCACTGACACTGTCTCTTAGCGACGGGATTTTGGGGGAGCTGAGGCCCCCCTCCGCGCTGCTCGTGGGATGCGCACACATCACCCTCCCCCAGCCGTGGTCCCAAGCCTCGGGCAACTGCAGGCAGGGGTACGCTGGCCCGGGCTCATGGCTGGTCAGTGCATCTCTCTGTGTCTGTCCACGTCTCAGGGTGAAACTGTCTGGCCTCCTGTCGTGCTTTCCTCAGCGAGTGTCTGTGGGTGTGTCTGAGGTCCCCCCACCCCGTGTGTCTGTCTGCTAGTGGGGTGTCTGTCTCGCGGAGGGTGTGACAGTTCCTGTATCTCCCTCAGAACTGGTACCCTCCCCTGGCTGGGGAGCCACCACCCACAATGCGTGTCTGTCTGCTCAGGTGAGGGAGGGTCTGGGTCGGGGGGCTCTGCCTTTCCATCCTGAGAGGCGCCCAGTTCTCAAAGATCCCCTGAGCTAGGCAGGGACATGTGATGCTGAGTGGAGCCGGCAGAACCCAAGCCTTTTCTGGGGGCCGGGGGGAATGTTATTATGGAGACTGGGCAGGTGGGGCTGCTTAGTGTTGGGGTGGGGAGGCAGGATGGGCTCACCTGGTTCTAGGCGAGAGGCTCCTGTCTCCAGCACTCAGCCAGGCCCTGACTTCCTTGCTGCTCCAGCCGCTGGCGCCGGCTCGGGCTCCAGCTCTGCTGCTATTTATGGGGCCTGGATGGGGAGGGATGGGGGGGCCGCAGCACCAGCTCCCCCCCACAGACCGGTTGGGAGGGAGAAGAGGGGAGGAGCAGGGCTGCTGCCTGGGAGGGAGCCACAGAACTGGGGGAGGAGGGCGGGCAGGGGGTGGCTGAGAGGCAGGACCCCCACAGACACAGTGACACGCATCTCCTCTTCATGCCACACCCACATCCAGCCCCGCAGAAAGGCACACATTGCGGTGGTGTGCACACACACATCCCCGCCGGGAGATGATGGAGACACGGCACCCACGGCTCGCAAGCTCACACATAGCTTGACACACACAAGCACCAGCACATCAACTCACTGTAACACTGAGACAGCGACAGTCCCCCTGATTCCCATAGGGACACACACCCAGTCTCGCCACACTCTCCACCTCATCACACTTGTTAGGGATATTTGCAGTCACATAGAAAAAAAAAAAAACATAAAAAAACCCCACTGGGTTATACTTGTCACACACGCATACACTCACTCACACCAACCCAAACCCAGCAGAATGGAGCCCGTCACATGCTCTTTAAAAACCATGGTGCACCGCGTTGGACCTTGTTGCCTGGAGAATGAAGTCAGGTCCCTGCCGCCTTCTCACAGGGAGACAGTTGCTGAAGGGCATATGGCCTCATGTCCTGGTCACTCAGCTCCCTAGGGCTGCCTGCTGGGGAAATGTGCTGAAGGACTGAGCCCCAGAGATCACCCCACGGCCACATGCATGCCCCACCCCTCAGACTCATCCCATCTGGCTACACCCTCGTGGGAGGGGGCCACGCACAGATCTTCGGCAAATGAGATGTTAGTCATTCCCTAGTGAGACCAGGGGAAGGGAGCAGCTGCCGGGGGCGCACGAGGAGACCTGGGGGTACACACACGGTGATGGGGTGAGCAGACCAGAGGGCTCACCAGAACATTTCCCCCTCCACCCCTAAGCTGCCAGGTATTCAGGTAGTGACCAATCATTTGCCAAGCACCTCCCAGGTGCCCGACACAGGCCAGGGGGTGGCGCCACACAGGTGAGTGAGATGCCGCTCCTGCCCCTGGAGCATAAACATCTATATCCAGCTATGTAGCTACATGCAACCGATAGACATAGGGAGAGGTGACCAGCCAATGCGCAGATGCAATTAATGTGGCAGGGGCAGAGGTATGGGCGGCTCAGGCTGCAGCGGGCCAGAAGAGGGAGGATGAGCGGAGTGTGGATGAGCCAGGGGAGGCAGCAGGAAGGGCTTGGCGAGGCAGAGGCTCCTGCGCGCGGTCCTGAATGCCAAGGCAGCGTTAGTACACCAGGGGGATGCAGCGATGTCATTGTTGACCTTTTCATGCCGGACATTCTGCTCACCTAAAGGCTATCCTATTGTGGAGATTCCTGACTACTGAGGGTGCCCCCAGCATGACGTCAGCACTTCTTTCCACCGTGAGCACACCTACATGTGGGTGCAGGTGCACGCGCCCCCCCTCCCCCACGGCTCTCCAACCCCCTGGTACTGTGGAGTCTCACCTCCCTACGGTGCTCCCTAGAGCTGCACACACATTGCTGATGGTTTCTGTCATTTTGGTTCCTTCTCCAGGTAGCTCAGCCCAGAGGCCCCTGGCTTGGGCACTGGCAGCTCCCCACTCCCCACCCCATTTAGCAATTCTCTGTCTTTCTATCTTCTCTCAGCGCCCCAGCCCCATGGGGTGTTCTTTACTCTTCCCCACTGTGCGGGCTGGTGGGAAGGGGAGCAGATGATGGTGGGTGGGGGGGCAGAGAATGGGGAAGACATCAGAGGCTGGAGGCAGGGAGAGATTTTGTTTTTTTATTCTATACAAGTGGGGAGAGAGCCCCTGGGGACAGAGGGACACACTCGCCCCACCCCAAGTGCTCTGCGGAGCAGGCGAGGCGTTCAGAGCCTCCCTCTCTCCAGGTTGCTCCCTCCCTTCCTGTCCCCCACCTCCTGTCCCCCACACCTCATCCTGCCTGTGGGACAGGGGCTGGCCGAGGGGCCTGGAGGTGTGGGGCGGGTGGGCATCTGAGTCCGTGTGAGGCACATTCGAGAGGAGGGCTGGGAGGGTGCTGCAGCGGCTGTCAGTCTGTTCCTGGCTCACTGGTTCCTGCTGGGGACAAATCCAGGGAGCCCTGTTTCCTGGGCAGAGAGCGTCAACCGCCCCGTTTCGGGGTGCGCTGGTGGACAAAGGGCCGACCACCTCTCGCCCACCCCGGCACCTGTGGGGTCAGGGGGCCGCCTTCGATCTGGCTCCAGCTTGTCGCAGGACTGTGCCCGCCTTGTCCTCTTGGGCTTCAGGGGGGCGGTCCGGCGGCCTGGATCTGGGGGCCCTGAAATGACAGGTGGGCAAGCCTGGCACGTGAGTGGGGTTCCCAGGAGGGGCACTGTGGCTGTGCTCATCTGATGTGGACAGCGAGTCCCCTCCAGCCAGGGACAGACCTTGGGCCTCCGGCTCCTCTTGTTCCTGCTGCGAGCCCAGCCTCAGCCGGGGTTTGCTCGGCCCTGGGGCCGCAACTCCAGTCTCAGTCTCCTCCCTGCCCCCTGGCTCCTGTGGGGGGCGGTGGCTCCTGGGTCCAGCCACTGGCTTGGGGGGCCGCGGAGCTAAAGGGGGGTCCTGCAGCTGGCAGAAAGAAGATGCTGGGTCAGTTAGTCCTTTCACCTCGACAGGGTGCCTCCCGCCCACCTTGCCATCCCTCACCTTGGCGTTCCTAGCGGGACCCGTCCTCTCTGGGAATAGGGCTCGGCCTTTCTCCTCCTCCCCATCCTGGGAGGCTGGGCTGGGGCTCTGGCAGCTGTAGTTGGGGGCACTCTCCTCAGCTGGGGGATGGGAAGAGAGAAGAAAGTAGAGTAAAAAGCATTCTTGCATCACCCTCCCTGTCCCTGGAGACCACCCCCAGGCCAGGCTGTCTATTCAGGACTGCAGTGTCCCTGGGCCCTGCCAAGGCTGCAGCCTGGCATTCCCAGGACTCCGTCTGCAGTCTGATTAAGATGGTGAGTCCCGAGGAGAGGCGCCCTGGCACCTACTCCCACTCCCTCTGTGGCTCTATCCACCTGAGCCCAACCCAGTGGTGTCGCCTGTGTCTGTCTAGAAGGTCTGAGTGCAAGGGGCCTGGAGGCCGGTGGCGGCAGGTGTGTGCTCTGGAGCATCCATCGAGCACAGTTGCCCGCACTGAAGGGTGGGCCTGCCCTGGGCGCTTCCAGCGGTCTGTGTGCGGGCTGGGTATTTGGCCCACCGTGCCACTCTGCACCAGTCCAGGCCACGTGGGCAGAGAGGAGGAGGCGGGAGACGTGTGCGGCCCATACGGCTGGAGGTCTGCTGCAGGTTGTGGTGACTGAGGCTGATGCAAGCTGACCAGCTTTCCTTTACGGAGCCAAAGTGACATCATTCCCTGCCTCCCACCCCTTCTACTCCCCTCCCTCACCTCCTTCCCTCCCCCAGAATCTCGAAAGCAGAAGGCAGTGCCTGTCTAAGGTCAGTTGTGTGGATGATGGTTGAGGTGGGACTAAGCCCTGGGGTTCTGGCCTCCAGCGCAGGCTCCCGTCCCCTCCTTTCGGACATGGCACTCTTTTGAGTGAGCTGAGCTAATTTTGTAGAAGGCTTTTAGGCTCTAGAAGGGTCTGGCATGGCTCGTGCTTGCCTCTTCCCAGCTGAGGTGCGGAGAGGCCTTCCTTCCGGGGGCCACCCTGCTGACGGGGGCCAGAGGCAGCCCCTGCTTAGAGGATCCCCCAGAACCATCTACAGGTGTTGTCCCATGTCTGTTAACTCTGGCCAGGCCGCTTCTGGGCTGTGGGGCTTGCTGTAGGTGGGGCTGTTTGTCTCTTTTGGATGTGGCTTTGTAAATATCATTAAACATCACCCCACCTTGGCTGGCAGCTCCCCAGCATAAAGACACGGTTGCATGTTTGGACGCACCCTGAGCCTTCAGTGTTGCTGCTTACAAAGAGGCTTTCCATACCTATGTGCCAGGTGGCCTCTGCCCGGCGCATGGCACTGAAGCTTGGTTTGCTGCTTTGGGGTGGCGGTGGAGGCTTCCAGGCCCCAGGCCCTGGAGCAGAGGCAGGGAAAGAAGAGGAAAGGCAAATTAGGAGGGGCCCTGAGGGGTCACAGAAGGGAGGTGAGGGCTGCCGTTCTCACCTGCATCATCGGAAGAGCGACGCTTCTGCCAGGCCTGGACACTGCCCTCCAGCTCTGGGCCTGGGCCCTGAAAGGACGGTGGGTGAGGCCACGAGGTGAGTCCACTTCACGTGGAGACTGCAGCTGGCAAGGAGTTCTGCTCTTGCCTCAGCGTCACCCCGAGACAGGGCTGGTTCTCCCCAAAGAGTGGCACCGTACCACCCGAGGGGCGTAAGTCATGATTTACGTGAATTACAACACTGCTGTCTTAATCATTCTGGGTTAATTTTATGTGTAGTAAGAGAAAAACAAGCTTAAAGTGGATATAAGCTTAAGTGCAGAGCAGGTTAAAAAAGTGAGTTGATTTAGTGTCCACGATACGGCAGATGGTACGTAGCGGTGAAGTCAGTCTAGAAAGGTGGTGATAGAGTCACTTAAGTTTGGGAAACTGCTCCAGAGCTACGGTGTTTATGACTGCCCACTTTAGCAGGACTTGGAGGTCCCTGGAGATTAAGCGACCTGTCTGGCCTTTTGTCACCAAGTGTGGTAGGGACAGAACAGCAGCCAGCACCTCCTCATGCCAAGGCCTCCCTTTCACAACCCCCTGGGTACAGGGGTGTCGAAAGACAGGGCATTAGATAGGGGATCCACAGAACTTCAGTCACTGCCCCTCTCCCCCCCACCCACCCATTTCCCCTCACCTCTCGTTTCCCATCGAAGCTCCAACCTTTGGCTCGTCCCAACCCGGGAAGGGCTATACCATGCACAATGCCAGAGGCCTGGCCACCCTCCCCTGGCTCCGCCTCAGGGCCCTGGAATAAGGTCTCAGGTTATAAGCAGTTCTGGGTGGAGAAGGGGTTCCAT